AGGAATCAAACGGAACGCTAAAGAGAAAAGGAGGTTCCCCCTCTCTTCTCCAACGTTCTGTCTGCTTTCTCCTCCCCAGCCTGTCTTACCCTCACCCTGCCTTCTTGAGACTATAGCTCTAAAACTGTGTCCTTTTTCCGAGTTCAAGACTAGTGTTAAAGGGCAACTCTCAATTTTTAAAATTTAATAATAATGAGTGATTTCAGATTAAAAAGCACTAATAAAAGCACTATGTCATTTCCTTCGCAAAAAAGGGGGTATATATTGTTAAATATTACCTTAACCGTGAGCAGAAATCGAAACCGAAACTTCGACTCCGTCTGGCTACATTGGCCTCGGGCCGCCAAAGACATGGCTATCACGTGGTATGAGATGTCACGTGATCCTATACGCAACGACGGGTGGGATTGGGGCATGCCGGCGGGACACCGTTGGAGCAAGCATGTGCCAGGCGCAAGTGTCGTCTGCACAGCACTCTTCACCACGTTTCAATATCTACAACATTCAATGACGACTGCGCAACTGCGGCATCACTTTGTGCACATGGTGTGAAAGAAACTCCGAGCGACGATAATCACAAACAGCGTGAGTGAGACAAAGACGGCGGTTGTGACGCGGGAAACGGCGGGACAGCTGAACGGTTCCCAAGAAGCGTGCTGCACAGGCGCGTTACGCTAATCACGTGGACATCGCTGAACGCAGGGAGGAAACGTTGCCGACATCACCCGTTACGCTTGCCCGGAGAAGGAAAAACAAACAAAAAGGGGGCAATGGGGATGACGTTTAGTTCAATGTCTGCTACACCAACACCATAGCATCGACTGCACTATTGGTGGTGCCTCAATTCACCCGCCGGAGTCGCGCGATTTCGACAACTTGGTGCATTGAAATGTTTGCTGAACTATTTAAGAAACATTTAGACTTAACTAGGTCTTAATATTTAATGTGCATTGTTTTCTGAAAAACAAAAATGAAGTGGAGTTGCCCTTTATTATGCTTTGTCAGGATGGTATCATGTTACAACTGCAGTGATGGAAGTGCTGCGGCAATGCCTTTATTGTGTGCCCAATGACTTTTTGTGCGCCACACTGATGCAAAAGTATAAATTAGAAAAAAATTGCGCCAAGGTGTGCTCAAACTGAAATGATCAACGAGCTTCGTTGAAATTAGCCGTCTTGCAGTTTCTGTTGGCAACATTGACATCGAAATTTCCAGTCCAAAAAGATTGCCAGTGGATCCGAATCCAAATCCGAGGCTTTGTATCCAAAGATTGCTGCTGTGGCTATTCTTCGTTCGAGCTTATAACAGTTGTTACAGCATCCCTCATTGCGATGCTTTGAAGCCAGACCTCTTTGAAGCCATTCACTGTCGCCAGTGGCATAGCCAGGATTCTAATGTGGGGGGGGGGTCCGATGAAATCCCCCCAATGACAAAGCAGGGTGAGCTCGGTGGTGCAGACGTTCATGCAAAGATTAGCTAGGGGCGGTTAAGATGAAAGGGGTAAAACTGGACTGTCATTTTTCAAAACGGACCAGGCTTCATTTACAGGAGACAGGCGTGGTGGCTCACTGTTCTACTGTCGTCGTAGTTGCGGCCCACCAGCTTCACAAACATTCCTCATAGCACACAACTCCCCCCGCTTTTTGAGGTAGCACTGCATTACCAACGCGTGAAGGCTAAACAAAACACAAGGATAGCTATAGACCAGTGTGTACTCAGCTCCAATGACACGGTAAAGGAGGGGGGGGGGGGGGGGGGGGGGCTGCGCTTTTTGCGAGACGCCGTTTTTTTTAGAAACCTTTGCACATAGTATTGTAGTGCAAGAACGTCGGAAAGGCATAGTCACGGAGCTCCAAGAGCAACACCAATGCCAAGAGTGCTGCAAAGAGCAAAAACCTTGTTTTATGCGCAGCACCTCTCTTCACAAGAGACTGCGCTTTAAATAATTATTTCACATTTTTATCGCTGGGGGCTTGGATTTCGGACACTGGTCTATAGGCAACCTGCAATGCTGTTTGGTTTGGCGCTATCTAATGACTGAAGCAAGAAACATTGGGTATGCCTGGGAGTGGCAGCTGCATTGTTCAAACGTGAGCTATTACTCTGGTGGCGCCGTTATCGCCTAGTGTCTGAAGCAAAAATACTGGGTAGGCCAGGAAGCCGTGATCGCATAACATGCAAGTACGGTGGAAGCTGCAGACTGGCGGGCCAATCGGAACGTGACTATGTATCACCGGAGTGCGCTTTTACTGCGAAGAAGTATCGGGCTTTTCGCTGCATCATGCTCTACTATGAGTGCGTTGCGCTCGTATACGTAGCCTATATCGAAGCCGTCGGCGCGCAACGGAGGGCTTATCGTTCACCCTTTGCCAAGTTACGCTGAGGCAGGGTGTAACCATGGGCTCTCACTCTACTGAGTCCGCACAAACACTAAAGGCCCATATATGGGGCGAGGGTAATTCTGAATAGTCTTTAAACCAAAATCTATTATCTATTAAAAGTTTAACAAATGTGTGCTACAGAACAAGATGCCAAAGGAAAGAGTATTATTCTTGCTAGGCCGCTTTGTCTTGCAGTGTGGTCCAAAGGCAGCAGCAGCATATCCTCGGGGCAATGAGAAGTCGTCAGTCCGATCTCATTGTTCCGTCACTCAGAAATGACATCACACACCACACACAAACACGCAAACGACACGTCGAACATGAAAACGAACTTGAATACCCTTGCGGCTATGCGTAGTGAAAATATAAATGCTCTTCGAAGTTTCTGATGTTCCGTGCAACAAAAACATTAATCTAATAACGAATTGCATCGGATGCCACCTCGATGCAGAAAGCAAGACGGACTTCATTGCATCCGTAAGCGACCATCGAGACGGGCGTCTCGATTGAGGGAAATATCACGAAACTTCGCCAAAAATAAGGAAATTTTAGGCGTCCAATGAAAGAAGGAGAAACGTCAAACGCCCGTCATATCTGCGCTATAGGCGGTTGCCCTCTGTCCGGAGGCCCCATTCCCAAACATCCATCGTATCCTCAAGATCCTAGCAACTGTGCGCGTAACAATGGCGGAAGCTGACCGCTCATTCTCTTCACTACGACGGTTGGAAACATGCCTGAGAGCGTCCACTTCGAATGAGCGACTGCTCGGTCTAGTGCTTTTGAATGTTCACCGCGACATTGGAGTTCAAGCGGTGGACATCCTGGATATCGTTTGCCATGAACGCAGGAGGCTGCATCTTAATATGTAGGCACTTGGCATAAATGAAATGATTATAAGAGCCTGTAAATTGCTTTTTGAAATAAATAGTCACGGTTACTTTTTTATTCACAGTAATTTCTAGTCGAAAGCACGTAATTCTGATCAGTACACAAGGTGTGTGTGAGCGCAGCCTCACTTGTTGCTTACAGTGCAATTGTTCTTACAATTTATTTAATATTCCTTACATCGCTGACATTGTTTTATATTATCACCATGTGTGTTTTATTATGTCCACTTTAATTTGATTTATCTCTATTTCAGTGAGGATAGTTTGTTATACTTTGCCCTGAAATGGCCGTCCTCACCCCACAAATGTTTCGAAATATCCATTCCCTATATATCTGAGATCAAGTTCCTCATCCCATCAAATAAATATGAATGAACAAATGAACAAACATTTCTTTGGAAAGCATACAAGTTGGAGATAGTCCGCGCTCCCCTTCTGCTCGGTGCCCCGTGCAAGACTGACTGCGTGAGCAGAGTAGCGAGCGGGCTGAACGACCAGGGGGGGGGGGGGGGGGGGGGGGAGCATCGGCATTTTGGGGGGGGGTTCCGACCCCTAAACCCCTTGCCTACGCCACTGGCTGTCACTCTACTTCGTCTAAGTCCACACGCAGATGATGCTGCAAGCGCGAGCTCCAGACTTTCAGCGTCCCTGCCAAGAACGCGCGTTCTGGCAGTGCAAGCACTGTTCAAGGCCACGTCCTGGGGCTTGTAGCATCGGCTATGTCTTGACATAAGCTGAAACGATGTATAGCTGCCGGTGCTATGTGCTTTACTGGAGTCCTGGAGTTATATCATCTAAATAGTGGAGCAAACAGTGCCACCATATTGAGATAAACTCAAATGTATTTAAGTTGGCGCACCTCCCTCTTGGCTGTACTTGCATGACTATAGACGTCCACACGTGTAAAATTTTTACACGTGTGTACACAGTCCACACGTGTAAAATTTTACACGTGTGTACACTGTCCACACGTGTAAAATCACAGTCCAGCCAGCACTCACTCGCAGTTGCGGCCAGCCAGAAGCTGTGCATGCATAACACACAGGCAAAACAATGAACGTGCCCTAATTTGAAAAGGTGTACTGCAAGCCCGCAGCCCTTGTTGGCCCGCCCCGGGGCCCTGTGCAGAAACATAACAAAGGCGAGCAAACGGGGAATGTATGGGTATGATAGAGCAAGCTATGAGCTAAAACTATTTCTACATGTTTGTTTATATTTACCTCTTTACAAGTCGGTTCCATCACGTGTCACACTGTCGTGCAGCCTTGCTTTATATATAATTTTCATGTAATTTCGTGAAAAATGTTTCACATAAAATGTTAGTTGAAACTACCGTGACTTTTAGCCTCTATTTTAACATTCTTTGTCTGCAGCTCCCAACTTGCTCCAAGACCTTGTTTCTGCTGCTCCCAGCCTGCTCCAAACTGTAGTTCTTTCTGCTCCCAAGATTGCTGCAAAGCTGCTTTGCCCAGTTCCATCCCTGGAACTGGCATCGATTCGAAACCTCTTTTTTTACTCGAGAAAGAGAGAGCACGGAAGAACTTGTAAAGAAGGAGCGATGGGGTTAGCCATTGTCTCCTTTGCATAGCTTTGTGGTCAAGTTTTTTGTTGGCTCCAAAGTCTCAGTGTGAAAGTTTCAAGTTAGGCGATGGCTGCTTGCTGAGAGGGCACCTCACTGCTACCAGAGGGCACCTGACTGCTACTGTTTTTTGCCTTTGTTTTGTCCTTCCAGATACGTCTCGGACATCCTTTTTGCAGGCTGTTCGCACGACAAGTTGCACCACATCAAGGACGCAGTCAAGAGTAAGATTATTCACAGACTGGTCAGATACACCCCAGAAAAACTGGATTGTTTTAAAATCTACCGTAAAATACCGGGCAAGCACCCACGCAAAATTTTAAGATAATCATAAAAAAAAAGGGGGGATGGCAGCTTGTCGGTCATCAGCTCTACATATAAATGTACTGTACATATTTTCTCAGATCTAACAAATTGGGGAATGGGCGCTTAATGTGGTATGGGCAGATACGCGGTATTCTACGGTAGGCTTACCGAGAATCCTAAAAGTTCCGACGAGGCAGTCACTGTGTAATTCCAGCACACTGGCAGCATTGCTCGGGGTTCCATACTAACGCTAGCGTTTATGCTGCCCGTTGAAAGAGGCCGCGAGTAATCTCCTCTTTGCAGAGCTGCACCTGATGGTGAAGGCCATTCAGGTTCCCCCAAAGGACAGGGTGCGGGCAGCAGAGCAGAAACTTGAAAAATGCAGGAACCAGGAGAATAACCCTGACAGCCAAATGTGAGCCTTTTTATTTTTTCTGCTTCATCTCTACAGCATTATCGACATCTTGTAAACCCTGAGATGGGGAATGAAGAAAATGGACAAAACATACAGAGGTCTCTTTCTAGTGTATTGTTGAAACAACAGAAAATAAAAATTGTTTGTAAGACAGAGTTGCAGTTACTGAGAACCTGTGGGAGATAGAATATGTCAATTTACTGTTACATGTGCCAATCATACATTTACTTAAAAATACCTTTTATCAATGAAGCTAGTTCATATGGTTCTGTTTCTGCAAAATGCACAAAGATCCAACTGTCACTATTTATAGAAATGACCAGACACCAGCAACGTCGGCGTTCAAAGTGCAATCTCTCTCTTTTTTTTTATGACCTGAGCACCCCAGTGCAGGTGGTTCGTCCCAACAATAGTTTTCAATAATTGTAGCCAGTGGCATAGCTGGGCCCCGGGTACCGGATGACTGGGACGCTTAATACTTAGAACCCAAGGCCCGCAGCCCCCACTACCCCTTGTTGCTACACCAATGATTGTAGCTATTTGAGGGAAAACATACTTATGGCTTATCAAGAAAAAGGTTTTTGCACTTGGGCATAAGCTGGAATTAGACCCCATGCATTTCTGAAAGCACAATAATCAAGATAACAATATTTAGTTTTGGTTTTGTTTCGAAGCCACTAATACTCCTACATGGTGATAATACAATAACCTTAAAATGCAGGCCGTTCACCCTTTTTTGCTGTTGGACTGGTGGCAGCTGTTAAAACCCGTAGCCCTACTGATGTCTAACTCCTAGTTAGCTTAGTTGGTAGAACGCTTCGCTAGGAATGGAGAGGCCCCTGTTTTGATAACAGGACCAGGTGGATTTTTTCCGTCGTGCAACAGTCCCCTAGCTCTTTGGAGATTTCTGTTCGTCCTTGTCCCCCTTGTACCCCTTTTTCAGGGAATAGTATTATCGTCACTGATACATTTTACAAAGAGTGGTACTTTTTGGAGGAACGACAACATTACCTGCTCTTTTAAATAGAAGTGCTGGTTGAAACATGAATTTACTAATGCCACATCATCTATAGATACGGGTTATATACTGGGTGTTTCGGCAAAAGCTATAAAAATCTCTAAATATAGGGTGGTTGAGAAAAAAAGAAACTTTCCAATAACTGCCAGCCACGGCAGACATCAGCAATTGCAAAGAACATAATACTAATTAGCTAAATAATGAAACAAGAATTACTGATTATCTTTTTAATTCGTGAAAAGGAACATGTGGTTCCCCTGAGAAAACTTGCTAAGCAATGTCGAAAGCCACTAAATCAACTGATTTCAGAAAAAAAATAAGTCCAGGGCAATATTTTGCGGCGTTTCGAAATAACGAGCATTTCGAGCGCGTTTCTAGGTTTTCCTGTGGGAGCGTGTCTTTGCTCCAGCAGTCCTGCTCCCCAGTGGCCGACATGTGCAACACAGGTGCGCTGTACTTCCCCCCATCCTACGAGGGAGGCAAGGCTGTGCCTTTGTGCCACGACCACCGGGGAGCAGGACGGGACCGCTGGTGCAAAGATGCGCTCCAATAAGAAACCAAAACCTAGAAACTTGTCCAAATTTAGCGTTTTTTTTTTTTCGGAACGTCATAAAATGCTATTCTTGCCTTACATATTTCTCAAATTAGTTGATATAGTGATTTTTGGTGATGTTTAGCAAGTTTCTAATTTGAAGCATATGTTTATTTTCACTAATTAGAAAGATAATTAGTAAATTCTAGTTAACTATTTAGCTAATTAGTATGTCTTTTGCAATCCCTCATGTCTGCCATGGCTGGCGGCTTGTTCCTGTAAAGAGTTACTTTTTTTCTTTGCTGCCCTATTTTTAGAGATATTTTAAATCCTTCGCTGAAACACTCGGTATATGTTGGTGTTGGGGAAAGCAGAAAACCTCTTTTTTTTTTTTTTCACCTAAAATATAACTCAGCTTCAACCAGCAGCTGGCATCCTTTTTCACGATCACCCTAGCCCTCGACGACTGTCAAAGAAAATACATTCAGCCGCTGACTGCACCTTAGCGCTAGATGCAAAGGCTATAATGCCACATGGGGCGCCTCCAGTGCGCTAAGCTACGAAACCGACTGCTGCATTGTGACAACTGGAAATGTGGCAGTCCATTCCAACCCCTTTCTTAACAGCCTAAAGGCAACTTGGTTTTCTGCAGAGGAGATAATCCTCTTAGCACTCCCCTCCCCTAAGGTGCAAGGGGAGCCAAATTTGTGCTAGGTAAAAAGTGGAGAAGATACAGGAAAGGAGGAGGCAGGCAAAAGTGGAAGGTGTAAAGTGCACATCGGTCTTTAGAGGGACAGTGACAGGGTATTTATGCTTGCCAATGTTTTTATTTTAACATGATTTAGAAGAGCTTAACTACCTAGAACACAACATGCGGCTCGAAATTCGTTTTCTTTCCGCCCAAAAACAGCCTATCGAGAATTGGCTGGTTTCAGTCGCACTCGCTCTCTTTTTCATGATCACGTGGCATTCAGACTATGCATACAAAATATACTCAAAGTCGTGGGTCGTCTAAGGCACACATCCAATATTAAAAATAGAAAAGAATATACAGTCGAGCCTGGTTATGTCACATCCGGGTAATTTGAATTATTGTTTACATCGAACAGTCCCAGCATCCCCTTGAAAATCACATGTAAAAGTGTAGGAGCATTGTTTTTCTGTATGGAACTCCCATGGGGGGTACACTCCATATAGGGAAGGAAGCATGGAAGGAAGCACTCGTGTTGCGGGGCTGGCTGGCCGGCCGCCAAGCCAGCATACGCACAGCAAAAAAACAAGAAAAAAACAACAACAAATGTATAAAGAAAAAAAAGTGGACGATGGCAAAAGCAAGGGGAAGGGCACGCGCGTGTAAGGAGTGCCAGGAGTGCCCGCTGGTGGAACGAAAATAAGCAACAAAAAAAAGTCTTTGTTGTGTCGAGTGTGTTGACAACGGTCGGAGCAATCATACTTTGAACATCGCACTTTGAATGCCTTAGCTTTGTTTACCTTTTTCATTCGCAGTTATTGCTTTGCTTCATTTTTTTTTCTTTTTTGCCTTTCTTTTTTTTGCTGCCTGAATTTAGGGAGTTTTTTTTTTTTTTTTTGTTACTTGCTTAACTTTATTCTATGGATCGAGAGTTTTCTGAGGCTCGCTTTGTTTATTTAATTTTTAAATTTATTTTCGTGTTTTGTCGTTGGTGCTGTGCCGAGGTCGTGGCCAGGCGCGCGCGTATTGCAAGCACCATTGCGTAAACGCAGCGGTGTTTGCGATCTTCATCAACTAAGCTTTACTGTATTTACAGCTCTTTGAGGCTATATATCATAAGGTTCCCTCTGTCACAGCCTTCAGTATTAGCAGAGACGCGCGAAAATTTCAACTGGAGCTTAAGTTAACATTTTTTTGTATATGAAATTATTGATATATTGAACTATTTTTATGATCCCGTTTGAATTTGAAATATTTGGGTTCGACTGTAAAGCCCATTTTGTGGCCTCCAAAAAGCTGCAAAAATACATTAATCGAAAAGAAATGTTACACGGATCACAAAAAGTACATGTACACATTATTCTCAATATGGCGACATACCGCGGGCCGCACGATGCAATGGCAGCACACGACGGACCATAGTTACGACGAGCACGGAGCCCCTGCTTCAGAACTGTTGTTTATGGTATCGCCCATATTACCTTCAAGTGCAGAACATCGAGCAGAAGGGATATAAGCGTGAAACAATCGCATGAAAAACGGTGCACGTAGGTTCACCGTCGTTGTCTTCTGCTTCCCGTGTAGGGTGACCACCCGTCCCGCGACTCGCGGGACTGTCTCGCATTGAGGGCTTGTGTTCCGCGTCCCGCAAGATAATCCAAAAATGTTCAAAATGTCCCGCATTTCACGCTGTCGTAAAATTCACAATTTATCTCATGGCGCTGCCGAACAAAGGGGCGCGGGGAAGCGTGGAGGCCTCTGATAATCGTGTAAATGCGATGGTGCGCTCTTTACTATCCTAGCATCGCGGGAAGCGACCGTCGTTCTTTCAGGAGATTGACGCGCATGTGCTGTGGTGCTCCTCCCCCTGGTGGAAAAGCACTGCAAGGGAAAATTGCGAGCCAAAATGTGAAATATAAATTATTGCAATTATTTTCAAATTAAACTGTGTCATAGTTCACGTCAACTGGGTTGATATGAACTATTTTTAGTGAAGAGGTAGCGCCTGTCCTGACGTCTTTGTGTCTTTATTTTCCTCGGTTTACATGATGGGGAAAACAGTTCAGAAAACGGACTACGAAGAGAAACAAACACGACAGGACATGTATAACGTCAACCAACTGGCCCAGTTCTCCACCTTATTACTGTCCTCGTTTTGTTTGCGCTTTTATCCTTTTAATTCAGTGTGGGCCAACTAGCCCAAACCCAAGTTTTAATAAAAGCATAAGGTTCTAAATTTGAGTAAGAGTATGTTGGTAAAAGTATATCGACAGGAAATAATAAGCCGAAAAGAGGTTTACTGTTTCTTCTTTACCTTTGATGCACTGAGCTTTGTTGCAGTCAATTTTGTTGTTTTTAACTTAGACACATTTAATAGCTTACTTGTCATTAAAATTAATATATATATATATATATATACACATTACTGGGTGTGAAAGTTATTTGAGCTTAATGGCTGCAACACAGTGTGCAGGTGTATAATATGCTTTCAGTCACATTTAGTAGTCTGCATTTCCTCCAATGCATCCTTCTTAGACGCCGCCATTGTGAACCCCCCCCCCCCAATCAGCGTGTCCCGCATTTGACTATCAGAAAGGTGGTCACCCTATTCACGTGCCAAAGAAGCAGAGAGAAAAAAAAAAAAAAAAACGTGATCAGTTGTAGCCACGTGATTTCCTGCCATGAGCTTTCAAGCTCGTGTTCCGGCTGTCCGTGTGGCCTTTGTGCCACCCTCTGCCTGAATGCCACTGGGCCAGCTTGTTTTGCCATGCACTCTACAGCATCGGGCGCCGAGGGAAAGCAATGTATAAGAATTACTACTGCTTTTTCTTTTTACCTTCGCTGTAACACCTGCCCCAGCTCTAAGGATGGTGACACACACAGTGCATTTTGACTCGGGTGGTGATTTCATCACTTTGTTTCAGATACAAGCGGAAAATGCAAGAGATGATGGAGGATGAACACGTGGATGGAATTTCTAAATATCCTAGACTATCAGAGGTACGTAGACTGACATAACCCTAACCCTCAGATTGCCGTGCCTGTGTATACTCAGGCGTGTTCCCTTGTAGCATCAGTTTGCTCCCTTTTCCTCCAAGCTGGGATTTTTTTTATGCCTAGTGCATGTATGTATGTGCAAGCTATAAAAAGGATGTTTTTGTTGTATGGTGTCGCTTTTTGATAGTACATATTTTTTTTTTAGGCGACTTTTGTTTTGATGTGCTGCTTTGTTGTTACAGAATGACGAATCTATGTCGCTCAACTTTGTGCTTCATGGCAAACACAGATCTAGAAACTACTAAGGAACTCTGTATTTGACAGTTGTAAAAACGTGGAAGTTACAGTTCTGAATAAATAAAGGCAGAATAAGGCCGCTCAAAAGAGTGACCTCAGTGTGCAAGGTTGAGCTGTCACTGCATAGAACCATGCCTCGAATAGCAAAATACGAGAAATGTGTCAAGGGTTGGGAGGCATGTAGACATCAATTAACCTTTTGCTCATAAAATAGTGTGTCTTTTATAATAAATATTCTTCAGAGGACATGCTGCAGTGTTACTGAGACCATAATTTGCATTCGGCACGCGGGAAAAAAATCCAGCACTCGTGCTAAAGGGGTCGGGACGCAAAAATTACACAAATAGACTGTTCTGGATTGGAAATGCTTATAGACCGACACGCTGTTTACAAACAAGCCGGCGTTTGCCTACACCTGGTGTGGGCACTGCGCATGCGCAGAAACCAGGTTCGCGTGAACTGAAGCGTCTGCGCATTGGCAGTACTGTCAACAGCGCCACCGCAGCTGCGTGACGTCAGGGCCGCATGTTGGTCTATAAGTTACTTTGTATACACACCAAGTTGTGCCATTTCTGGAGCTCTAATAATCGCAAAGTACAATTTTCTAAAACCAGTCGTTCGTATCTAGTAACCAGGCGACCCCGATGGAAATTTGTTGTAACCTGCCCGGAGTAGTCGCACCACGGTGTCCATGAACCACATACTTGTATGCTGCAAGTTATGAGGCTACTTTCATTCCCTTGTCTCCTAGCCGGATATTTGCTCCTAGTCCACCGAAACAAAAGCTTTGATTTATGTGAGCGATGCCATAGACCAGGGGTGGTCAGGCTGACCCGGCCTAAGAGCCGGCCTAAGAGTCAAAGAAAACCACGAAACTTCCAAGAGCCGCGGGGGGGGGGGGGGGGGGGGGGGGAGGGGCAAACTTTCGCCTAGAGAAATAAACGAAACTCAAACTACTTTCAATCTATCCGAGTCAAAAGCAGCCAATCTGTACGTAAGGTAGCAGTAGCACAAGACTACCACGCTGCAACCTGTCTTTCGATTTAAAACGCATTCCATTTTTATTTTTGGAGAAGTGCTCGTGTGACTTCGAGGGTGGTGACAAGGAGGGGGGGCGAATAGGGGAGGGAGCTGCGAGCCGCACTTTAACACGCGAAGAGCCGCGTGTGGCTCGCGAGCCGCAGGTTGGCCACCCCTGCCATAGAATGTCAGCTCGAGACGTGGGAGGGCATTGAGGAAGCTGAAGGCCGAAGGAACCCGTGCGCTGAAAGAGCCGAGTCTGCGAATGATGCAAGCAGAACGGTTGAAGATGCCCCGGCTGCCCCGCTTCACTGCTAGGGTCATTGGCAGATAAATGCATGATGCATGGATAGACTACATCACTGGCCTTTCAAACACGGTGGCCTTCTAGAATGGGTGGATCCGAGGGTCCCGCAGCTAAATCGAATTTATCCACGAAACTAACATGTTTACAAATTAGGTTTGACTAAAATATACTGAAACATCCCGAGAGATGCCCCACCCCCGAAAGATTACCCGCCCCATATTTTTGGCTTGATTTGCTATTTTTTTCTTAAACATGAAAGATAGCCCACTTCTAGTAATCATAGTATTTGGAATCAGTGATGGCCTCGGCTTAAATGCGAGTGGTTAGCTACGGTAGGATGTAAGTGAACAATGCTGACTGGGAAGTACAGTCATCTTTGCTTCATTGCCCCTTCGCTGCAATAAGAAGTTTGGCAGGGACACAAAACCTAAAGTAGTATTTGTTCCACTTTCCTTGATTGCACACCGTTGCACAACGAAAGTTAGCCCACTCTTAATTTTCACCTGATTTGGTCTCGATTTTAGGTGGGCTATCTTTCGGGATAATACGGTAATAATGTCTAGTGGGTTTTAGCTGTACAGTTATACTCTACATACGTCCTGACCCCGTCTAACATTTGTTTGATTGAAACAGGAATTAAGCTCACTTTCAGTCGTCTTGATACTAGAGGGCGTCACATTTCATCTCTGCTTTATAGACGTTTTTCGTTTTCTTCCGCTCTCAGTCACGTGGGTTCCATATGGGTATGCGGGCCGAAAAAATAATAAATCATTTCAACCTGCTAAAAATGCAAAAAAATATAGGTGAGGCAAAACAAGAATGTGTGACAATCGTGCCTTTTTTGTAAACATGTTCGTTAAAACTATGTTATAACGCATACCAGAATTGATGCGATTCAAGATGGCTGCACCCTTGTGGAAAAGGTGTGTATGGAGCAGGAGTATTTCATTTAGGCACTTTTTATTTGGTATTGTGAGAGGTCGTCTTCATGGATATACATTTGTTTCCGTCTTTTATTTCAGGAGCAAAGGAGACTGGACGATGAGACCCTTGCCATATCGTGCGCTCCAGACGGCTCTCCTTAGCATGACCGTAACTGTTATTTTCTCATCTTTAGGACACATAAATAAAGAATGAGATCATTGCATGACATTTGCTTACGTCTGAAATTTTTTTTCTAATTGCACTTAGTCATTTTCAGGCATATTTAAGTAAAAATGAATTGCCTTAGGAGCCAAAGTTTGATCTTCGTAAGCCAGACAACAAGCCAGTTGACCTTGAAAATGGTGGAGAAGGAATTTGATCAAGAAAATTGGAAGCGCGAAAACGAAAAGAAACGACTGATACAGATAAGGCCAACAAGATAGAGAAGGACTACTTTGATAATTCAAACAATTTTTGGGCCTTGGTATCAAAGGAGGGGAGCGATGAAGGAAAGAGGTATCTCCAAAAGGATGAAATAAACAAATGATTGACAAGTGTGAAGAAGGCGTAGTCGGGTAATGTTTTCAGATGAGAGACAAAATTAAGAAAAACAAAACGAACCAAAAAAAAAAAAAATGTGTTTTGCTTCTACTTTAAAAAGAGATGGCGCAAGTCGTTGCCCAACTCAAAAGGCAAAATTTGTATGTATCCAGTTCTATGCACGGTTCTACGTGTTCTACGTTACCTTAATTATTCTTATTTTTGTACTGAGCGTCGGAAATTAAATCTAAAGATTAGTATTTATTTAGTAAGAACCTAGCAAAGATTTTACAAAACAAGACATTTATTACTTTCTTTGGAATCTATTAGCGAGTTTGTTTCACACGCACTGGCACCGTTCGAGTTCTCTCCCAGAATGCATCGCACTCACAGAGTGTTGCACGGAAAACTGGACTCAAACGAACTCGCCAAATGCACCGAGTGCAGAAGACTGACGCTGCCGCCATCTATGTTGTAGAAAAGGTACCGACTTCAAACCGAAACTAGCGCCTTTCTGTTCGGAGTGATGCGTGGGAATGCGAGAATGCAGTCGCTACCAACGTTTATCTACAAACGTTGGTCGCTGCAACCTGTAGTTTATAGTTGTGATGACTTCAAGCAGCTAGGCTGCCGTAGAGATAATTACAGATGGCGTAAATTTCCGCAACCAGCTGTCTACAAAGCAGCTGGTTGCGATCTTTCAATTCTTATAACCGTTTACACTGAAGAAAACTGATGATGCTGTCCGAGCAGAAGCTTGATCCGTTTAAACATGGTATTATTCGTGAACCACTGAAAGGGTACGGCTTAAAACTATCCTGTTGTAATATCCAGCAAAACTGGGACTTTTGATTTGGATCGTCAGGATTAGATATTAGCCTTGGCGAGGGCGTCGAGAATGAGAGCTTTCTCGAACAAAATACGACGGGGTAAGTTAGCTGACGTAGGTAAATGTTAAACATGATGATGTTGCCCAATCCTCGGATAAAGTCTCCATCTTTAGCTTTCTCTGATGCTCATTGGGCAGTCAGAGGTTTCTGCTGGGGGAGTTTTGTCGAAAAATGTTAAATTTTTCACCCGCACACGGATGGTGATAGACATCTCGGGGGCCGCTGTTGCGTTTGTTCTGAGCATTTCTTTACACACTGGTATATTTCAGCGTTTGTGCGGCAACAGAGCGATTTAAAACCTGCAAATAAATCACGGGTTGTCAATTGCTTCCTTCGGGAAATATCAGACGCTCACAATTCAAGCTCGCGTTTGATTTCATGGCCCGCGGGACGCGATATCTATGAGAAAATCTACTTTTTTTCCCGTTCGGATCCGCGACACATCGTAGCAGACGAACCCTCGTCGTCTGCTCCCGCTCCTCGCCGGCTCGACCGGAGCGAGGCATGACGGGATTGCATTTTGGCGCACTCCCAATTTTTTCAGTGCAGCGAGTGCATGCACGCGTGGGGTGTTAGCGCTGAAACGAACTCGGAGTGTGCAACCACTCGTGGAGTGCCGGCCGAAACGAACCCGTTCCACGCTGCGAGTGGGCACGCGTGGGCACGAGTGCCGTGAAACCATAGAGTAATATACACAAGGTAAAGAGCGGACACTGCCATAGGCCCCAGCGGCCCAGATAGAGCAGTGACAACTGGCGCTCTTAGCGGACGGTATGAAACACAATCTGGTTCCGGTTCCGGTCAAGTTAGTTTCGGTTTCGGTTTGGGCATTTTTGTTTCGGTTTTTTGGTACCCTTCTCCTTCTCTTTTTCTCTCTTTCTTTCCTTCTCGCCTCCCTCCTCGCTAGGCTCTCGGGAGCTCCTTGGCTCCGGAGCCGATGATTCTTTTTTTTGTTGTTGTTTTTATGTTATAAGTTTTGCAATATACGATATAAGTTTTGCAAAATGCGTAATGTGTCGAATAAAAGTTCAACTTATTGAACACATTGAAGTACATAATCGCCACATTGACTCCTGGCTGGTGGAGCATTTTGGGAGGTTTTGGGGTCAACAACAGTAAGTGGTTTGAAAACATTTTATTGGACCACATTCATATGTACATTATTTACTTCAGAAGCTCTGTATGTTTTATAAGAAATAGATAATCACAAAAATAAATGAGTATGAAGGAGTTCGGCACATCATACACTTCGTAATAGATTTTTAGCGGAGTCAAGTTTACAAAAGCTTTCCACAGGGAAAATGCTGAATGATCCATTCACCTTCACGCCGACTCGGGCACGGTAAGTAAGTGCAGAAATAAACAAGACATCGCTATCATTACCAGGCGACGCACACACCGGATAGTACAAATTCCAAATTACCGGCTAATATAAAACACACGAAATGGCATAGCCTGAAACTCGCTGCGGGTGAGCCATTACAAAAAAAAAAACAAAAAACAATGAGAACTTTATTCGGAATCTGACAAGATTCAACCATAGATATTCAACCATGATTCAACGTCCCTAAACATTCCCCGAAATACATTTGTTCAGGACAGGAGTATTACTTCAGAAAAAAAAAAAAACGTCCAAAAAATATAGACGGGTACAGAAGTGGACACATTTTCTTCCAAACATCTATGCCTCTATAAACTATTTTCTATAGAAATTCTGCAGAAAGTGGATAAATATTTGTGTAAGGGGGCCGTGATACACATTTCCTGGAAATAAAGAAAACACATGTTTGGAGTGCAAGCTACACTGCCCAATTAATAAGCAATTTCTGTTTTTGATTTGGCAACCGCCTCTGTTAATACGCTATTAAGCTATTAACAGTTAAACTTATCAAGTTGCTTACTAGCAACCGAAGAGTGTAACCGAACTTTGTCCAAGTTCCGGTTAAGGAACCGAACATGCCAACACAAGCGTATTCGGCAAAACATTTTTAAAAACCTTTTGTGACACTCCTCTGAGCAAAGGCTGAAACCACCCAGCTCTGAGAGTGTGTGATACAAGGCAGCACACACTCCTCGAACATGCGCTACACTCTCTATTACGGCAAGAAAGTGATTTTCTAGTTTCTGAATAAAGTTAAAGGCAGCCTGTGATGGTACTACTAGGTTTCCGAAGAGTTTCCCAGGCACGTGGTATGCTTTAAGCATAAGAAAATACTGGTGAGGCCTGGTCAAGTTGTCAGACTCATCCTTTAGCAGCTTAGAACAGCCACAGCTGCGGGTTGTCTGTTCAAGGAAAAGTTTGATCAAATAGCCTCCAACGTAGTAAGTGCACGAGTCGTCAATTATATTAGACCTGATGTCTGATGCCAGCTCAGAAATATCTTCTAGTGGCGGGAAGTTATCAACTGGAAAACATTCCACATTGTCTGCAATGGAACTTTCATGGTGCGAAAATATTGGCAACTCCTTGAGGAGGTCAGCCTTTTCATCCTCTACATTTCCATTGTTAGAGAGTCTGAACAGTTTTTTTATCCCGATGTGTTTCAGTCCCGAGGTGAACTGATTCACATTTGGGTTTGTATTGCAGCCCAGCATTTGTCTTATTGCCCCAAAAATGTTCTCCAGTGGGTCTTGCTGCAGGCGTCGAGTAAGTAAGAATTTAAAGTCATAGCTGTTTGAAAGCTCATCCCAGAGCATGAGGACACTCCTTATTGTAACTTGCCACCCTATGGTGGTTTGTGGCTGCCTCCTACTTTGGAACTTCCATGTTGAAATCCATGCGAGTTGTTGGTGAAGGAAATCGAGTATCTCAGATTCTCCTTTCAAAATTGCATGACGCAACTTCTGCCCCGTCTTCTTGAATTGCGAGCTATTTAAACAATCAAAAAGTCTGTCCATTCTATCACAAAAATAGGCTGTAGCCATGGCTGCCTCAGGAAGCTCCTTGGCATAAACAAGGGATAGAATGGCAAGACAGACTGAGGCACTCAGGACCTGTGTGGCACGCTTTACTTTCATGTTACTGAAAGGTTTTTGAAAAATGTGCCTCTCAGTAAGTTTTGGAGCCAATCGCAACCTCATCTCATGAGTAGAACGATAAAGTTCAACAATATGGGACCATTCAATGACCTCATCCCCAATGCAAAGTTTGTGGGCTTGGAGATTGTTTCTTGTTGTTTTGATGAGGTGCGGAACATCAAAGATAAAGTAAACACGTTCGTTGTCGACTTCAAAAAATGGCTTATCAGCAGATACACCAAGTTGGTTGGCTAAGCTTACGTTTGAAGCCCCCTGATCACAGACCACGGCCTTCACAGTGAAGTCAACAGTCTTAAGCTCTCGAATGAGAGAAATCAGGAGGCTCCGGATAACAGAAGACGGTGTTGAAGTGTGCCCAACAGTGTATGCGAGGGGCTGAACCCACCTCCTGGAAATTCCAGAGAGCACAACAACCAGGGCTCTATCTGCAATGGTCGAGGTTCGTTCAACACCGTCATCTGTAAATCCATGGATAATGTCGTGTGCAGGGTCGTATGTCAAGTTCTTCTTCAAAACAATCTCATCAAAAATCAAGGTGCAGACACGATCACGTGCATTCCAAGACCGCGTTTGAGATTCGATGGAGGACATGACACCAGGTATAATACCAGGAGTCATTTTTACGTTCGACAGCCACCTACGCAGTGAACGCTGAGTGGGAAGCGTTAAATGTAACGATAGAAAACGGTATGCCTGTGGGCCATGAAAGTTCAGATGCAAAGCAAACTTCTTGAGCCACAGTGGAAACCGTTTTCCT